CCCACTTGTGGCCAGGATACCCATCTCCCTGGGCTTAACAAAGGTTCTACTAAATCTGTGTGTCCCCCATGCTCAGGATAAAAAAAGCACAAGCTGAGTGCTGCCTAAGGAAGGAAGGCAGGCACTGCCCAGACAGACTCCTCAGCACTCAGTCAACAGCATGTAAGCTTTGTGGAGCCCCAGGTACATACTGTCCACTGTCAAGACCCACTGAGGTCTCCTGACCTCAGCTTTCTAAGAGCTCTTGCCTGGACCCAAGCAACCATCAGCTACACACAGCCAAGGCCCGGGGTGTTGCCCAATCCCAGGACTTGCCCAAAGGCACAGTGCAGGCCAACTCAGCCCTGCCAAGTACCCCTTCCATGCAAAATGCTCACAGGCAAGAGAGTCCAGGAAGGCCTGGAAGCACCAAGCACGGAGGGCCTCACAGGGCCCAGCTAGACCCTGTGTTCAGGGCTTCTGGGGGCCATAGGCATTGGACAACTCTACAATGTATTCACATCATACATCTACATAAGTGTGCACACAAGCACATACATACAACCACATACCAAGAGGCCAGTTTCTGCCACTTTCTTCTTTGTGGAGAGCTGACCTCTGTAAGCCATTTCTTCCTCATTCAAAAGATGAGGTGATGGTATATATCATAAAAAAAGACTAAGTTGGACAGTAAGAAAATCGCCAAGTGCTCTCTAGCACACACTCGGTGGAAGGTAACTTAAATATTACCAACAGCTACCTTTCCTCAGACACTTTCATTACAAAGCACTTTCACACCATCTCTTATGAAATGAACACACAAATGACAGAATGAGGGCAGAAAGAGCAGGTATAGCGATAGTTGTTCTATGGATGAGGTGACAAGAAGACTTGGAAGTGAGTCACTTAAGATTACATAGTATAATCAGGGGCACAGTGGAGCTTTGGTCTGGGGCTCTACTTGATCCAAAGCAGTTTCCTTTCCGACCTGACAAACAGTATGGGTGCTCAATATTGTAGAATTAAAACATACACTGAAGAGACAGAGAAAAAGACAAAAGCCAAGATACAAAGTCAAAAGCAAATACAGGAGTCCCAGTCAGGCACAGTGTCTCATGTCTGTCACTTCAGCACTTTGGAAGTAGAGGCAGAATTGCAAAGACTTTGAGGCCAGGCTAGGCTACAGAGTGGAGAATCTGTCTCAAAACCAAAACAAAGGCTTTTGCATCTTCACACAGTGTGAACTAGCCTAGTTAGTCCAAGGTAGCTGGAGCCAGTAAGTCACAGATGAGAGGAGGCTAGGGAACTGGGGCTCATGCTCACACACGCTTCCTAGCACTGAGTGCTTCCTAGCACTGACTAAGTACATCTCTTCACAGAGGGAGGTTCCCTAGGTCCTTCACCTGGTCAATGCCTGTGCATCACATTCAGGCCTGTGGGGGTGACAGCTCCCTTTGGCCCATTCTATTACACTGCAGCAGACCATGAGGGACATCAGATTCACACAGCCTGAGAGTTATCCACAGGTGAGACCTTTGTTTTTGTAAGAATCATAACCAATCGCATTTGTTTTTCCTCCTGCTAAAGAAAATAAATCAGAACTGAGGAGAAAAGCTGCTGCATTTGGGCACACCAGCGACACTTCTAGCCACCAGAAACTGAGAAGGAAAAAGGCAGTTAAGAATGCAAACCACCAGGCACTGGGACACAGTGTTCTTCGGAGCCACATGGAACCAGGAGACTGCTTGATCACCATGAAGAGGAGGGATTAAATACACATAGCATCTTTTTCTTTTTGTTTAGGACAATGGAAAGGAAATAAGGGTTTTAGAATGCTGCTCAAATCTAAGAATGCTTTGTAAAGGTGGGGAGTGGTGGTGCATGCCTTTAAACCCAGAACATAAAGTCAGAAGCAGGTGGATCTCTGAATTCGAGCCCAGCCTGGTCTACCCTGTGAGTTTCAGGGTAGCCAGTGCTATATAACTGAGACCCTGTCTCAAAAAAAAAAAAAAAAAAAGAGAGAGAGAGAGAGAAAAGAAAAGAATACTTTGTAAGGAGGCAATTTTAATCCACTGAGAAAACGTCTGACTACCATGATGATACATTTTCAGAGGATTTCAGGAATCTGAAATTCTGCTGCAATGCCGAGGGGGAGGGGAGGATGGGGATGTCTAGAAAGTACTGCAAAAACCAAGCTTTCCAGTCATTCTTTCCAGGCCCAGCTCCCCACCAATGTGTGTTAATGAGGTTTTACTGGAGCCCATCAGGAGCCACAGGTAGGTTAAAACCAGCTCCACCCTCCCTGGGGAGCTGAAGCCAGCAGTGACATCATCTCCAAAGGCCGAGCCCATCCTCCCCCCTCTCCCTCCCACTCTGCCAGACCTCAGGGGAAATGTCTCTACTAGTCCAAATAATTAAGGAAAGAAAGAGAAAAAATAGCAAATAACTATTCCAGAGTAACTTTGTTTTTTCCCTTACATAGCAGAAACAAAAGACCATGGTGACACACACACTGAGGGACAGTTTGGACAAACCTGTTCCAGTCTCTGGGGAGTGGTTCCCAGCAGCCTCCCCTTGCCTATTCAAAGGCAGGCACCCAACAGTCAATCTCTAGCTCACTGATCCCCAGGGGTGCTCTGACCTGCTTCCCACAGGAGCTAAGGGAGCCCTAGGAAGGGAACAAGATCTCTGGCATGGGTTTCTGCTTCCCTTTTAAGCAAACCCCAATTGCCTCCATTATCCAGAAAAAAGGGGGGGGGGAGATGTGGAAGTGCCCTGCTTCTTCCACACCCACTTCTAACCAAACATGGATTTTTGCTGGAAGAAAACAAACTAACCAAACTTTATAAAATAAGAATAAGCAAAAGAACACCCTTGCCTCCAAGTGGGAGTCTGTCCTCAAAGCTTGGCTCAGCTCAGCCTCTTCCTCCAGGGAGCCTTCCCAGGATTGCAGGTCCCTCCCATTGAGACAACTCTGCTTCCTAAGCCTTGTGTCTCCCTAAAGGGTCCAACCTCCCAGGTCAGAAAGGCAGCCTGCTACAGTGCCCGCTCCTTACCCAGGACACAGAAAATTCCGGGAAGCACAGTTCAGACAGAATTGCCACCTCCTACTGCCTACTCAGTATTAGTAACGGGAGCTTGAGAGCCCTAGCTCATAGGAATATCCGCCTCACCAAAGACAGCAGGAAAGCTGCATCCTGGCTGGAAAGCAATGCAGTACGGCATCTCCACTGCCCCAGTGAGGCCTCACATTGGGACTAGAGAGAACGGCTGGAGGTGGATGTAATGCCAGGCAGGTCAGGGAGGCATGCCAAGCGGCTCCACTTTCCTCTCCACAGTGGTAACTTTGATTCCAGGCATGATCTGAGTCCCACAGAAACCACAACCCTCAAGAGCAATTTTTTGGACCTTAAAGCCAAGAGTGCACCGGAGACTCAGTTCGGAAACCATATCCCTCCCTGAGAACCCTGATTCAGCACCCCACAGGCCCCCCAACTCATGGGCAACTTGATAAGTACCGAGGTCCTCTCTCAAGACTCCAGAGTGATGGAGCCACCTGGGATGCGGCCAAGACAATGCCCATTAACAGTGATCCGGGATGCCACTTTATATGTACACGACCTGGGTGTCTCTCAGTTCTCCTTCCCTGTGCACGTGTCTCTTTGCCAGGACTACCAAAGTTAAACAGACCAGATGTGGTGGTGGGAGACTGCCACTTCCGGAAGGGATAAAGCCTGAGGCTCCGCACCTCGACTCTGCCTCTCAGCGGGATGGTCAAACCCCGCCAGTCGGAAGGACCCCCGGACTCCACCGAGGGTGCGGGGCTAGGGGCGTGGACACCCCGGGGGCAAGCGCTGACACCTGGCGGCGACCCAGGACCCGGCCCACGTCAAGGGCCGGCGCTGCGGGGCGGTTCCCAGGGAAGGGTTACAGGGGCCGAGAACAAAGCGCCCCCGTTGGGGAAGGCGGGCTAGCGGACGGCGGCTGGGGCGGGAGAGCACTTTCTAGGGACCCTCGACAAGCTCTTTGTCGGCCAAGTCGCTCATTAGCGAGACCGACCCCCGCCAAAGGTGGATGGCTGCATCCTACCCAGAGGCCTCCCCCCACCAATCGCCAGCTCTGCGTTCGCCCCTCTTTCCCCGCGGCCCTACTGGGCGGGCCAAGGGACCCGCCTTCCCTGCGCGCGGCTTCAGCACAAAGCCGAGTCGGGGGAGGGGAAGAGCCGTACCGGGGTCCACTCGCGGGAAGGGTCCCCAGGGCCGGCCATGCGGACGAGGCCCTCCGGGAGGCAGCACAACTTCAGTGACCCCAAAGTTGGGTTCTTAGGGTCTTTAGCGGTCTGAAGCCAACTTCCCGGAATCTCCCGCTGCCAGCTCGGCCCAGCTCACCTGGGACAGCCAGAAAAAAACTGAAGGGCCCCGTGCCACCCTCCTGTGTCCCACGCACAGCCCCGATCCCGGTCCCTCCCGCAAGCCCGCCCCCTCCCGCTCCGGCGCCGGCTCTGCTGCGCCCAAACTTGCCCGGGTGCAAAGACCCAGGAGCCCGGGCTCCACCGCGCTGGGGGCGCAGCCTGCAGTCTGGTTTAAATTAGGGTCTGCGGAAAGGGCGTTGTGGCCATGGCCACTGCATCCCTCCGGGTCACTGGCGAAGGCCAGGCCGCTGAGGTGGCCAGCGAGACAGTCGCGGGAGAGAGTGACTTTAGGCGCCGCCGCAGGCCGGCGGACTCACACCCATGTGGAGTCGTTTTACTTAATTGATCGCCGGGAACCAGCGGAGAGTCCACTCAGCGGGACGCCCCAGTCCCGACCACGGGCTGTGGGACCCGCGCGGCACCCACCGACCGTGGAGGGAATTAGGGCAGGAGTCCTTATTTAAGGGTTCACCACCCCTGGATCCGCCAGGCAGCGCGGGAAGAAGTCCCCGCTCCCCTCCCCCTCCACGTGCCGCCGCCTGCATGGCATCGGCGGGTGGCGAGTCCAGGCTTCCCGCCGCCTTCTAGCCCTGCCCCGGGCCACACTCACCGGGAGGACAGGCTGCAGGCGCAGCGCCAGGGCGCAGAACCAGAGCCAGAGCGCCGCGAGCCTCATGCTGCCCAGACCAGCGGCGGGAGCTCCGCGGACTGCGCGGGTTGGAGTTGCGGGTTGCGCGGAGCTGCCGGTCGGCTCTGCTGATTGCGCTGCGCTTTGCTGTCCCGGACGCCTGCCTGGCCGGCGCTGCTGTCCTGAGTGAGCAAGGGCTGCAGGTTCCACCGGCTAGAGTCAGCTCCTCGACTGCCAGATTCCTTCCTTTGCGCCAGGCTCTGTCTATGCTGGCCCGCACCTCTCCCGCCGAGCTCCGCCTTATAATAAACCCACAGGCTGTTAGCCGTTGCAAAAAACTAGCCACCCACCCCCAGCTCCGCGGGCCTGGGTAGCCCCAGTCCCCACCCCTCGGCTCCGCCCTCTGGGCTTCCCCGCCCCCTTGGAGCGCCCCACCCCCCCCGGGATACAGCCACACCCCCTCCCACGCCTCCTAAGATCGAAGCCCACCCCACTCCTCATCTCCCGGGGGTCTGAGGGCCGCCTTCCTTCCTTGAGTCCTGGTGCCAACAATCTGAGATTCCCGCGTCGTGACTTCCTTGATGCGTGGCTGATGCGGACCCAGGTGCAACCGCTACTATGGCCTGGTTCCGAGTCCGAAGGCGCTGCCCTGGGGAAGGGCAATTGTTGGTCCTCTATGCGCGAGGCTGCAGCGCCCTCTGGATGAGGGTGCCCTGCACCCTCCAGGTGAGCAAGATTTTCAGGGCCACCTCACAGAAAGCAATGAGGCTATATATAAGCCAAAGGACTGATGTATTGTTCCCACCTTTCCTCCGAGTGAGAATGGGACTCCTAGAGTCTTGGAGCAAAGTGCTGAGAACTCTGGACCTTTGAAGACATGAGCACTATTTGGAAGAGCTGGCTTTTTTTTGTTTTAAGTTTTTGCTGTCTTCCCACAAGAGACAAAGCCCTCTCTCTTCGTAGTCCAAGACCACAAGAAAAAATAAATGGCCTCTTTGTTTCCAGGTGACCTCGGGCATCTGAAGAGCTCCAGTTGAGTTCCTGCCCCTTAGGGCCTGGACCCCACGGTTTCCAACACCCAGAAGCACGTATGTCAAAAAAAAAAAAAAAAAAAAAAAAAAAAAAAAAACAGCAGAAAGGCTTTGGGCGTAGCGAACTGCAGTGAGAGCAAAGGGGAAAACCGGCCCTGTCTTGCCTTCAATCTGTATGCAGCCCGCCTTTTGAAAGTTCAGTAACTTTCTTTATTCCAACACATACACACACACACACACACGCGCGCGCGCGCGCGCGCCTCTAGTGGTGGCCCGTAGCCCAGCACTCACAAGTGTAGCAACACCTTTGTCATGGGGAATCTCCCTTGGAGGGGGGGTGTGGAGTCTCTGCTCACGGGGGCTACAGATCCTGCTGAGTTCTTGCCTGGATCCTCGGGGGTCTTGGTAAGGAGCACCCCAACAGTAACACTCAAGGACGCCTAGGACCTAAAAAGCAGGTCTCTCCTGGAGAGTGGTTCCAGGGTCTGAAGTCAGCTCTTCAATACTTCGAACGGAATGTGAAGGAAAAAAAAAAAAAAAAGACAATTTGGTATGTTACCCTCTAGTCCTCTCAAAATAGGAAGAAAAAAAAGGGGGGGTTGGGAACAGGGAGGGACTGATGGAGGTGTTTCATGTTTAAACATGAACAATTTGATGCTTCCTTCAACCTGAATAAATTTACCACAGATCAATGAGTCTGTTTAGGGGCAGGCAATGAAGAGGACTCCTACAAGGAGACCCTAAGAAAAGCATATATACAGAGAAAGGAGATGAAAGACCTGTTGGCTTTGGAGCTCAGACACCTTACCTGGCTTGTAATTCCTTCCTGTCCTCCATATGCAAGAGAGCCTCTGCCTCCACCTCCCCTACGTCTAAGGGATGGTTCCTTCTGGAACCTCTTACCAAAGTACACTGCCTAGGACTGGTGACTAGGAACCCCTAAGAGAGGGTCACTCTCTGGGAGGTATCGGTACACGCCTTTAATCCCAGAGCTCAGAGGCAAGTGGATCTCTGTGAGTTCAAGTCCAACCTGATCTACAGAGCGAGTTCCAGGACAGCCAAGGTTACACAGAGAAACCCTGTTTTGAAAATAAATAAATAAAATAAAACAACAAGAATTAAACACTAGGAGAATAATGTCTGGTTGAGAAGAAAGCCTCTAGCCTTCCTGGGGAGGGGCCTCGGCTAAAGCCATCTTGGTTGGTGTTCAAACCATGGATTATTAAATATTTTCCTTTACTTCTTTGGTGAATCCCTAAGTCTGATCTTTTCTTTCTTTCTTTTTAAAACTAAGTTTCCCCAAGGACAAAGCCAATTTTCTATAGGTCATTTTATTATTCTTCCTACAAACATATATGGATGGTTTCTTTCTGGGAGAAATGCCCACTCTTAGTTGAAGTAACAACAGGTATAACACCTGACTGTAGGGCTGCATTTGAGAAGCAGCTGTGCTCAAAAGGCATGCCTAATGCCCATCACTGCAGGGAAGCTGAAATAGCTGTTATTGATTGATTGATTGATTATTTATTATGTATACAGCTTTTTGCCTGCATGTATCCCTGCAGGCCAGATGAGGGCACCAGATCTCACTACAAATGGTTGTGAGCTGGGAATTTAATTCATGTCCGCTGGAAGAACAGGCAGTGCTCTTAACCTCTGAGCCATCTCTTCAGCCCCACTCCCAAGTAGTATTTCTAAAATGAAGAGAGTTAACACTTGTCATGGAAAACATTTCAAAACTGATTTTGAAGTGTAATATGTGTTTTAGGTTAAAAAAGTCTATATATATAAAGCATATACTACATATAATGATATATATATATATACACATTAATGTTCAAAACATTCTTTAAAATAGATATAATGTATATAGCCAGGTGTTAAGGTACACACCTTTAATTCCAGCACTCAGGAGGCAGAGGCACGTAGATCTCTATGAGTCTGAGGCCAGCCTAGGCTACTAGACAGTCAGAGCTACATAGTGAGACCTTGTCTTAAAAAAACAAAATACAAAACAAATAAACAAATAAACCAAGTATATAGTAAACAAGGTTCTGAGGGAAAGAGAGGTAATACGAACCGTTAGAAGAGGCTGGGCAGTGGTGGCATACACCTTTAATTCCAGCCCTTGGGAGGCAGAAACAGGCCAAGCTCTGTGAGTTTGAGGCTAGTCTAGTCTACAATGCAAATTCCAGGACAGAAACCCTGTCTCAAAAAACAAACAAAAAAAATTACCATGGAAGAGATCTTTGTGTTCATTTGGGTTTTTTTTGTTTGTTTGTTTGGATTTTGCTTTGTTTTGTTTTTTGAGACGGTATTTCTCTGTGTATCAAGTCCTGGCTGTCCTGAAACTTGCTCTGTAGACCAGACTGCCTTCCAACTCACAGAGATCCACCTGCCTCTGCCTCCTGAATTCTGGGATTAAAGGCATGCACCATCACCGCCTAGCTCATTCTATATTCTTAAAGCAAACAATATCTGTTTATATGACTGGTTTCATTTTTGTTGCTTTATTGGATTTTCCTTTGTTGGCCAGGTTGTCTCAAACTCACAACAGTTCCCCTAATCAGCCTCCCAAGAGTTGGGATCACACATGTGGTTTTTTTTTTTTTTTTTTTTTTTTGAGGCCCATGTATCCCAGGCTAGCCTTTACTCACTATATAGCTAATAGCCTTGAGTTTCTGGTCTTAGTTGGCTTCCTGGTGCATCACTGCACCTGGCTCCATGCAGAGTTAGAGACCACATCCAGGGCTTTGTGCCAGCAAGCTGAGCCTTTTTGTTGCTTTTAATCTCAACAATAAACTTCCCTCAGCTGAATAACAGGACCAGTATCACCTGAGTCGGGACTGGCATTTCAGCCAGTGAGCCATCTTGCTCACCACCCACACTCCCATCTTTTGTTTCAAAATGGAAGATTATAGATCAAGGTAGTTAATTTCTTTTGCCAACTCCACTGGGTTAAAAGTGCCTAGATAGCTAATAATAATAAAATATTTTCACGTGTGTTTGTGAGTGTGGTTCCTGAAGAGACGAGTGTTTGAATTAACAGAGTATAGAATAATCACTTCCACCAATACAGAGGGTTGTCACTCAAGATGGTGAGAGACTGAGTATTGAGTGATGGCAAGAAAAGTCAATCTCTATGTGTATGTGTCTGTGTCTTGCCTCTCTGTCTTTGTCTCTCTCTGTCTCTATTTCTCTGTGTGTCTCTGTCTCTCTGTTTCTCTATCTCTGCCTTTCTGTCTGTCTGTTTCTCTATCTCTGTCACTATCTCAGTCTCTCTTTCTGTATCTGCCACTGTCTTTCTGTCTCTATCTCTGTCTTTCTCTGTCTCTTTCTCTTCAAACTAGATATAACTCTTCCCCTTTCTTGGTATTGGAATGCCTGGCTCTTGAACTCAAAGTGAATGATAACAGCACCTTAAACTTCGATCTGTATCACACAGGCAAGAGACTGTGGGACATCTCTTTTGCCTAGATAATCTGGTGGGCCAATTCCCACAGTAAATTTACTGCTTATATTTATATCCTGTTAGTTCTGCTTCAATGGAGACCCCTGAGTAATGCACAGACACAACTGGGCTCTCCCAATGTGTGTTCCCTTTTAAGAGTTAACTCATGTTGACACTTGTAGCCCTGATTCATGTATTTTAATTGCTATATGATAATCTGCCTCATTGTTCATTATAAAAATGCTACAATGTATCCATGGACATTTTGTTGTTTCTGGTTGTTGCTGTGCTGTTGGTTTTAAGATGTTATATGCAAGGCTACTGTCAGCTCTTTGCTTTTATGTTTTAGTTTTTTGTTTGTTTGTTTGTTTGTTTTTCTTGGTACTGAAGTCAGAATACGTTAGGCAAGTATTCTGCTGCTGGGCCCTGCAGTAAATTCTTGTGTCTGTCCCCTCAAGTATATGTGAAAGTTACTCTAAAAGTACAATCCCTGGATTATTAGTACAAATGTCTTCAAATTTCTTATAAATGATTTTAAGCAATTCCTCTAAACAAATCAGTCTCTAAAAGGACCATAACCATGTATAATCTCAGTGGCAGTAAGGAAAATTGGCATTCTTTTATTTAAATATTGATTTTTATTTGTTTTTCTAGACAGGGTTTCTCTGTATTGCTTTGGAGGCTGTCCTGGAACTCTCTCTGTAGACCAGGCTGGCCTCGAACTCACAGAGATCCACCTGCCTCTACCTCCCAAGTGCTGGAATTAAAGGCGTGCACCACCACTGACCGGCTTATATTGATTTATTTTGTGTGTGTATGGAGAATAGGAGACACGTGTGCAGACCGAG